TTGTGCGGGAGCGCACCTCTCCGGTATGGATGTATATCAGTTGGACACGGGGCAATTGGACACAGTCCAATCACAAGTCGCTGTTCCAAGGGACTCTACAAATGTCTCTAATCATACGGTGCTGTGATTGGCTGTGTCCAAATGCACCGTGTCCAAGTGCACCGCTCCCCTCCGGTATAGCGACTCGGGAGGAAGGCGGTGTGGTGTTGGGTCGCACCACGCCGCTATAACGGGATGGAGGCTGGCTGGGGTCGGATTCTCCCCCCCCCTCCCGGTCCGGAAGGCGTCCTTCAAACAGGCGGAGGCGGTGTCTTGCGGAAGTGACACGCAAGTAGTTCCCGTGGGCCCCCTGACGACCGCTGAGAACGGACCCGCCAGGGGTTTTAGTGGGTAGGGCCCCCGCCGACTTTACGGCGGGGGAGGAGTCCCACATAACCCGCGGTCTCCCCCCGGAGACCGCGGGTATGCGTAAAGCATTTCCCCTGGTTTAACAAAAAAAAAAAAAAAAGGATCGCAGTCTGATGAAGAGATGGAATCGGTAGAGGGAAGAAGCGAGACTGAGAAGAGATTGAGAAGGGATTTGGAAAATGCAAGAAGGGAATTGGAGGAAGAGAGGAAGGAGAGAGAACAGATAACGGGGAAGGTTGCAGAGTTAGTGCAGATGGAGGCGGCGTTGGGGGGGGGAGACCCTGGAGGATAGGGCCATCTCCCCGTTCCCCGAATTCGCGCCTGACAAGAGGGACCGGGCGACGTCCCCGATGCGGGGCGCTGGAGAGTCGGCGGGCGCCAGCCATTCGGATTGGGACTCGTCGTACCCGTCGCGCGTGTCGGGTTCTTACATAATGCTACTGCACGAAACGCCGAAACGAACATTCTTCCACCCTACGTGGCTGATTACCATTACGACGCACCGATATACGTCTCTTTTCGCGAAGCCCTAAAGCCAGTCCCATCCTTTGATGGGCATAATATATTTCTCGCGCAATTCACTCGAGCATGCCGTAGAGCCAAAGAAACGATACCTCCTTCGTCTGAAAGGAATCACACGGTTATTAATAAATAAACTTCGTGGACGCGCATATTATGCCGTCGAAGGCGAACCATGCGATACAGTCGTACAATTAATCGACCTAGTAACTAGCGCGGTCGGATCACCAAGGACTATTGACCAAGTCTATGGAGAGCTCAGTACTATTTATTTACTCCCTGACGAGCATATTCTCGACTATATAATGCGATTGAAGGAACTGCGATCGTCAATTAGATGCAGAACGCCGCGCTAACGGACGCATCACCGACATGATGAGTAATAATATAGATATGCTCACAGTCAGGTCATTTTGCGAAGGACTATCTCTAGAATATAGATTACAATTGAGACCCGAGCATTACACAAGGCCAGCCGAGGCATTCGCTCATGTAAAAATTTTAGCGAAACGGCGAGAGTTAGATAAAGAACGCTTTGAGGTACCGCGCCGACTGGACCGATTCCTAAATAAAGCGGAATTGCGTCCCATAAACCAACCCATAGCGTATTCCACACCCATGCGACCTAAGAACGGTAAATATTCCGTATAAAGGACCCAGCTCCAATCACTTTGCTTTTGAGATATGTTATCAAGGACATCATCCTGAGTAACCTTCAAGTGGTTTTAGTCGGGGGTCGTTGTTTGTTAAAAAGTTATTAACAAAAGAAGTTCTATAAAATGAATGTTATTTTTAAACACAGTATACATTAAAATTAGAATAATAACTGCAATATCGAATGACTAACGGGGGGCTGTGCCCCCCGCACCCCCT